GAACCCGCCACCTTAGGTGTATGTGGCTGGCGCCTTAGCCGGTTGAGCTATAGGAGCCGAGCCTAGACTGATTTTCCATCTCATCTGTAACTTGGGATTGTTTTTGTAATTCTAATTCTTTTTTTTTTTTTTTGGCTCCTTCCCTGCAGGTGGCATTCACTATCCCCACTTTGTTATCCTCAGAATATAAGGGTAGGAGACCTATCTAGAATCAGAATTCTTTTGGGAACTGTAAGGAGCCAAGAATTGTTACTTGCCCATTACACTTTTCATGCATCTAAGGCAACTCCATTTTGAGAAGCAATTTTTAAACCAGAATATTAGTATATAGGAATTTATTTGAAGATATTTATGTTGATTTGAAATATTTCTTTTAAGTTGAATATAAACAATATTTCAAAATCAAATTACTTGAAATCATATCATTTGTTTGGTGTCTGAAGAGAGTTATTTTGTAATGTGAAGCTATTCCCTAACTTTTTGTTTCCATGCATAGTTTTACTTGCTGAATTTTCATGTTATACATAAATAGTTATGTACTGCATAATGACATTTCTCAATCAGTGACAGACTACATATATGAAAGTGGTCCCTTAAGATTATAGTACTGTAAATTTTTTTTTTTTTCTTGAGACAGAGTCTTACTTTGTTGCCCAGGCCAGCGTGCTGTTGCTTCAACCCAGCTCACAGCAACCTCAAACTCCTGGGTTCAAGTGATCCTTCTGCTTCAACTTCCCAAGTAGCTCGGACTATAGGTGCCCACCATGATGCCCAGCTACTTTTTCCATATTTAGTAGAGATGGTGTCTCACTCTCGTTCAGTCTGGTCTTGAACTTGTGAGCTCCTTGGGATCCTCCTGCGTTGGCCTCCTGTAGTACTAGGATTACATGCGTGACCACCATGGCTGGGCATAATACCATAATTTTACTGTACCTTTTCTGCATTTAAATAGACAATTACTTACCATTGTGTTACAGTTACCTACAGTATTCAGTAACCCACCTAGATTTGTAGCCTCGGGGTAATAAGGTCATACCATTAGCCTAGGTGTATATAGTAGGAAATACCATGTAAGTTTGTGTTCACGCAATGATGAAATTGTTTGACGATGCATTTCTTAGAACATAATAATTGTCATTAAGTGACATGTGATTGTATTTGTAATTCTCCTTTTCTTTAAAGAACATTTTGAGAAAATGCAAGAAGAGTTACTGAGGTCCCGGCCTACCACATTGAAATCCTAACCTTTTATTTTCTTTAGCTCTTTGTGCTATGGAAGTGCTTCCTCTTGCACTACCTTCTCCACCTCGTCAGTTATCAGAATCAGAAAAACATCGGATGGAGGACCAGGAGGAAAATACTTTAAGAGAGCTGCGGTTGTTTCTCAGGGATGTAACCAAGAGGCTGGCCACAGATAAACGCTTTAACATCTTCAGCAAACCGGTGGATATTGAAGAGGTCTTGTTTCAGTAGTGTGCAAACAGTGAAGTTGAACTGGCTAAAAGAAAAAAATATTGACATCTTTTTTTGGAAGGAAAAAAAGCAAAGGCATGGATGAATATTACCCCTAGCCTATAAAATTTTAATCCATGTGATAACTATCAGTGTCATCAGCAAGTATCTGGTGACTTGGATGAAATTAATGACCAATTTGTATATGTCCTTTTAATTCTTACTGATCTTTGTGATCTCTTATTCTTTAATTTAAGAAGAAGATTAAAACTTACTTTAGTGAAATACCCATACTAGACTATTTTTATTCCAGGATAAACCCTACTCTTAATAAGTATATTAGTATTAACTAATGAATACTAATTAATATTGGCATTTCCCAAATTATGTATACCTTATCAAAAGATCTGACTAAGAAATCAGAAATTTCTTTGTCTTTCATATTTTAGAAATACCTTTGGTTAAGATGTTGTTTGGGGCAGTGCCTCTGGCTCAAGGAGTAGGGTGCCAGCCCCATATACCAGGAGTGGTGGGTTCAAACCCGGCACTGGCCAAAAACTGAGGAAGGTGGGGGGCGGAAAGATGTTGTTTGAAGTTAAGCACATCCTATACTGCTAAAATTACTTTTCTCTCCAGAGGTTCTCTGCTCCCAGTGGAAAATTTCTCACTCTCTATGTATATTGTTTTGTGTGCCTGTGGGAATGTGGTTTGTGATCATGAGAAAAGAAATTTTCCATTTGGAATCAATTATAATGCTGTCAGTGAGGTTTTTTGTTTCTGGTTTTTATCCTGGGATAATATAGTGTGTGGATGAATACAGTGTGATCTTTACTGGCCTTCTTCTTATAATTCAGACTCTATGTTTGAACAACTTTAGATTGTTAGCTTTAATTTTTTGTTGTTGTTGTTAAATTTCTTTTTTTAAAAAAAAAAATTGAATCATGAAATGTTTCCAAGTTTAATGTTATTTCCTAATTGTGAAATCTGTGCTTTGGGACCTGAGCAGATTACTTTGCACCCATTATTTATCTATGACTGAAAAGACTGAGCTAGCATTACATTTTTACTCCCAGACAAGTCTGAAAATATCTTTCTACCCCTTTTTTGGAATAAAAGGACTATTTATAATTTTATTTGTATATTTATCCACAATAGACAGTTTTCTTTTTTTTTTTTTTCCATTTGAGCCTCTCAGCAGCTTTGCAAGGATCATTATTTTTTTTATTTAACAATTGAGGAAACTGAGGCTTACTGGAAAGTGGCTACCTAAGACCTGAAAGTTTTTTTAAATTCAAAGTTCACATTCTTTATATCCTATCTATCTTGTATCTTTTCTTACTGGGACAACAGGACATGTTTAATTTGCCTTTTAATAAATAAATGACACTTTATGTTTGTGGAGTGTTTTCTCCCTCATCATTTTATCAGATAATTTAAAAACTATCAGTCAATTTAAAAAATTGTTTTAAATATGTGTGTGTGTCTGTCTCCATATCACATTTGATATATTTGGACTCTGACACTTCTTAAAGGATAGGGGCTTACCCCCAAGTCAAATTCTTTTTTTTTTTTTTTTTTTTTTTTGAGACAGAGTCTTACTTTGTCACCCTCAATAGAGTGCTGTAGTGTCACAGCTCACAGCAACCTCAAACTCTTAGGCTTGAGCCGTTCTCTTGCCTCAATCTCCCAAGTAGCTGGGATGACAGGTGCCTACCACAGCACCCAACTGTTTTTTGGGTGTAGTTGTCATTGTTGTTTGGTAGGCCTGGGCTGGGTTCAAACCCACCAGCTCTGGTGTATATGGCTGACATCCTAGCTGCTGAACTATAGGCATCAAACCCCAAGTCAAATTCTTATGGTGGGAATAAACTAATTTTGTTTTCAGTCAGGAATAATTATTTTTCTAACCAGAAAGTATTGTCAGATTTCAAATGCTATCTGTAATAGAATTTAAGTTTTATAAATGATGGTAAAGCAGTGCAAGGGGATAGAGAGAATGTTAGATAAAAATTTTAAAGCTGGGGACAGTGGCTCCTGCCTGTAATCCTATTACTTTGGGAGGTGGGAGGATCACTTGGGGTCACGAGTTCGAGATCAACTTGAGCAACATAGTGAGACACCATCTTTACAAAAAATAGAAAAATTAAGGCTGGGCCTGGTGGCTCATGCCTATAATCCTAGCACTCTGGGAGGCCAAGGCTGGAGGATTGCTTGAGCTCAGGATTTCAAGACTAGCCTGAGCAAGAGCAAGACCCTGTCTCAAAATAGCTGGGTGTCCTGGTGGGTGCCTGTAGTCCTCGCTACTTGGGAGGGCAAGGCAAGAGAATCACTTGAGCTCAAGAATGTGAGGTTGCTGTGAGCTGTGACGCCACAGCACTCTACTGAGGACTGCAAAGTAAGACTTTGTTTCAAAAAACAAAAACAAAAAAAACTAAAAAAAGCAAAAACATTTTCTGGAAATGGTGACATGTACCTGTAGGCTCAGGCTCAGGATGCTGAGGCAGGAGAATCACCTGAGCCTAGGAGTGTGAAGTTACAGGAACTATGATGGCATCACTGTGCTCTAGCCTGGGAATCAGAACAAGGCCCTGTCTCAATTAAAAACAGTTTTTTTTTTTTTAATTTAAGGTTTAGTATGGTTCTCTTGTTTTCTTCTCTGTTTATTCTTCTTAGGTTAATTCATCTGCTGGTTTTGTTTGCTCTTAAAGCTGAAAACAGGAGTCTATGGGAAGGACAGAAAAGGGAAAACAGATGAATTTGGATACCATACAAGTTTTTAATTAATTTAAAGTATCTAAAAACCATCAAATTCTAAAGCATACTGCAGAGAAAACCAAATTTCAGAAAATTGAATTTAAAATTAAGTGCAGGTGCTAAAATATTAGTCTTTCATAATATAAATTTTTATAGAGCTTTTCATTTTATAAAATCATTTTCACTTATACACGGGGGCATGCCAAATGCCAGAACCAGTAATCCAGCTGGTGACCTCTGAACTGTTGCTTATTTCCACGTAGCTCCATTATCTTACCTATATAGATATTGACTGGCTTTTGAGGTCTTAGAGCAGTGGTTCTCAACCTTCCTAATGCCACAGTCCTTTAATACAGTTCTTGTGGGTCACAACCCACAGGTTGAGAACTGCTGTCTTAGAGACTAAAAAGTAGATTAAAACACGCATATATGCCTGCCCATTACTTTTATAACTAATCTTAAAATTTTAAAATCACGTATAGTAGAACCTGTGTAAGTTGACCACCTAATGGGCTATAACAAGCTGATCAACATATGTAGGCATCAACATAGAGAACTAGGCCTACTGAACTAATATGCACATGTGGTGCATGTGCATGAAAATTCAGTCAACTTAAGGAGGTGGTCAAGGTAGGGAGGTAGTGAACCATGGAGGTTCTACTGTATGTAAATTATATATTTGTACATGTGTGTTTATATATACATTAAAAAATCATGGTATCAATGTCATCTGAAAGTACAAGAAAAGTAACCCTACTTTCATAGAGCAGAAATTACCCTACACCTAGAAATCATTCCTAGACTAATGTTAGACATTATTGCTTTCAAATGCTTTTATATCAAACCTGATTACTTGATTTGAGAAATGCGTAGGTTGTTAGCACTTATTGGTCAGTTATATACAATTTACTGGGCAAATCATCACACTTAGCATCTCTTTTGCGTTATTATCTAGAAAATCAGCACATAAAGCAGTATGGTGTTTGTTTGTTTGTTTGTATGTTTGTTTATACTTAGGGACAAGTCCAGTAAATCTTTAGTTATAAAGCTATATTTAGGTTTATTTATTTCATTTTTTTTATATTTAGTTTTATTATATAATTGACTCAGAATGTTTGTAATGACTCTAAAGGAGTAGAAAATACTTTCCATGAAATAATTCACCCTAAAAAACTGAAAAAGAAAAAGTCTCACTATGTCACCCTCTGTAGAGTGGTGTGGCATCACAGCTCACAGCAACCTCAAACTCTTGAGCTTAAGTGATCCTCTTGCCTCAGCCTCCCAAGTAGCTGGGACTATAGGCGCTTGCCACAATGCCCAGCTATTTTTTTGTTATAGTTGTTATTGTTGCTTTAGCTGGCCTGGGCAAGGTTCAAACCCACCAGGCTTGGTGTATATGACCAGTGCCCTAGCCACTGAGCTATGGGAGCTACCTGAAAAAGAAATTTTTTTTTTTTTTTTTTTGAGACAGAGCCTCAAGCTTTCCCCCTGGGTAGAGCGCTGTGGCATCACAGCTCACAACAACCTCCAACTCCTGGGCTTAAGTGATTCTCTTGCCTCAGCCTCCCAAGTAGCTGGGACTATAGGTTCCTGT